ATTTCCCAATTGGTGATGAGAGTGAACACATGCCAGTGAGTTAACTTTTTAAACATTCACATTTGCATTATCTTTATATTATATGGCTGGCTTTGTAAGTGGAAAAGATGAAGTGAACCATGTGTTCTCATTGACTATGCCTATCAAAGCTGTCAAGATTGCGCTATCTTGCCCACTTGGAGTCACCCGCTTTGTGCTGCATGAAAATATTTTTTTGGGCTATAATTTAAGTTAAACCCATTATTGACCCATGATTGTTTGCTCTCAGGGTGACTGAATTAAGTCGTGTTTGATAATTCGGGGCTAGTGGATTTTGTTCTTAACTTGCTCGACGGGCAAGTGCTGTTTTTGGGGGAAATTCAAATTACAGAAGGATTGTAATCAGTCCTGTTAATCAAAAAAGGTTTTGGGGCTAGTTGAAATGACTTGTGGGCTAGTACATGCTACAGGTACCTACAGCTTGCCCAAATGGCAGGCTGTAAAGCTGACTTTCTTTGCGCCCTGCCACAGAAACCCTAAAAGGAACTTAGCTAATGTCCAGCTATCCTGATCAAACAAGCTTGGTTAATATTGAATAATAGTATTTCCTTAAACTTCACAGAGAGGCTTTTAAGACAGTAACAAACAAGTGAATAACAATGCTTTATTTATTTATTTATAATTTATTATGACTCAGTGCTTTTGAAAATCTACTCTACCTGGCAGATTCCTGGTCACACATGTATGCTCAGTTTCATATCCTAATGGAGTTCAGCAATGTGATTGCAATTAACATCTATAACCATTAATTTTTATGTTGCCCACTTTTGTTTGGTCAGTAACATGAGAATTTTGCTGGTCTTAACAATGTAAGTAGCGAAGCAGTTACAGCATTTTTTTACTGGTATTGACCTTATTCTAGGCACCCATAGGAAAGAAATGTGTTTTCAGTCATGTGTCTAGAGAAGCACTGTGAGTAACAAGCATTTAGAAAGTATTCTTTTTTATTAAACAGGCTCCAGTGATCCGTGCATTTGGTATCCTAAAGAAAGCAGCAGCTGAAGTCAATAAGGAGTTTGGGTTGGATGAAAATATTGCCAATAACATCATGAAGGCAGCAGATGAAGTGAGATGTGTAGACTTAAAGAGACTAAACTCAGATTAATTAATTTGAGCAGTATGCTGCTTTGTCCATCAGTGTGCAAAAGTTATAAGATATGGGCAAATCTGTTTCAGAGTGGGCAGCTTAGCCATTTACGTCAGTTAACTTGCCTGTAAGCCCATTCTTGAAAGACTCGTAAAAGCAAAGTGTTGAAGTTCCAATGACTTAGCCAAAAAAGAAAAGGAAAGGAAAGTTAAGTATAGTTAACTATGTACATGGGTTGCAGGCATCTTGAAAGTCCTTGAAAATTGCAGTAGGTGCTGGAAAGTTCTTGAATTTCAGTGCTAATTAACTTTATCCAACCCAGCAAACACAGAAAAATTGATGAAGAACTAAAAAAGACAGAGACTCAAGGCTCCTTTTATGAACTGAATGGAGTCCTTGAAAAATGGGAAATTGGAAATGTGTCCTTGAAAAGTCCTTGTTCAAAAATGGGTATGAACCCTGTATGTACATGTGTGGCTGATCGTGTTTTCTCAATTCTGTGATATTATTTTCAGGTAATATCTGGGAAGTTAAAAGATAACTTTCCACTGGTGGTGTGGCAAACAGGTTCTGGTACCCAATCTAACATGAACGTTAATGAAGTGATCAGTAACCGGGCCATTGAACTGATGGGAGGAGAAATGGGATCCAAAAAACCAGTTCACCCCAATGATCATGTCAACAAAAGTCAGGTTGGTACAGAATACACTTAATCTGTTATTAAAGACTATTAACAACATAAGTCCTCTCACAAAGCCAGTGTTCGAAATCACAAGAGAATACATTTTAGGCTCCTTCAAAGTAATATTTCAAGAATCACCCTTATGATTAAGGTACGCATGCCTGAGAAAACAGCCAACATTTCGTGACGCCGCCACTGGTTTCCTCACAAAATGATGTCTGAGGAACAAGTGCAAAAATTCCATACTGATGATGCATCACCACCCAGATAAGCGTAGTGCTTCTGATTGGTTGTCCCACGAAGAAAACTTGCTTTAACCAATCAAAAGCTCTTTCCAGATCTGAGTAGTCACATCATCAGTATGGAATTTCTGCACTTGTTCCTCAGAGGTCATTTTGCAGGGAAACCATAGTATTGACTGTTTTCTCAGGTTAGATATTGATTTTGTAGTGTCATTTTTTTCATGTCTCAGTCTTGTTATTACTGTGTTTCTACTGTAGAGCTCTAATGACACATTTCCAACAGCAATGCACATTGCTGCAGCATTGGAAGTCCAGGAACGTCTTTTGCCAGGTTTGAAGAAGTTGCATGGTGCACTTGAGGCCAAGAGTACTGAATTTAAAGACCTCGTTAAGATTGGCAGAACTCACACACAGGTGTGTGATTGCAGTGCTCATTATTAAGGGTCAAAGATTTTGTGAGTAAGGGTCAGAACACAATATTCTCCCCAAGCATTTGAGGTTAGGCGAACTTCTTGCCACCTGGCTTAAAAACCAAAGATGTAACCCAACTGAAGCTCATGTTGACATAAAGAACTAGTTATTTCAAAGACAAAATTGAAGAAACATTGTCTGGTGTATTTGTTTGTGCTTTCTCACTACCTGGTCCAGAATGCACTTACATTTATACATGTAGTATCAACCTGAGGGATGTCATCGAATAAAAAATAGTTGACTATCATAGTTTAGTGGAGGAAATAGCTTCACCAATTTTTCTTATTTAAATCTGATTTAAATAATTATGTTTAAATTGACTTCAGGATGCAACACCCATCACACTAGGCCAAGAGTTCAGTGGTTATGTACAACAGATACAGTATGGGATCTCAAGAGTAGAGGGCACTCTAAAGCGAGTGTATGAGCTGGCTATTGGCGGCACAGCTGTGGGAACAGGTCTCAATACAAGGATAGGCTTTGCAGAGAAGATGGCAGCCAAGATTGCTGCATACACAAACCTCCCATTCACCAGGTATACACTGTCAGTGACTGCTGTAGTCACAGTTCTTGGAACCTGTATACAATGATAGCTGTTTCAAACTGTGTATTCATTTGTTTTATTTGCCACTTTGACAATAACGGTGACAGCACAGGCGATTGCAATAATAACTTAAAATATTTGTTAAGTCTAGTAGTCCCAACCATCCCTGTTTACTAATGAGGGTGTCTAAATCATACATGTAGAAACCGTTCTATGCTGAATTGTCTCAGCTACTAATTTGTTGTACACTCCACTCTACAGAATTGTTATAATTCAAACTGCGAGGTTGCGTGGCCGAGCGGTTAGGGTGCTGGACTTGCAATTAGGAGGCCTTGAGTTAAATTCCTGCCCTGACCTCTAGCTGGCTTTGTTCTCGGTAGTCCTACAAATCCTCGGCCATGCTCGTAAATAGCCAACTGGTTTGCCTCACTAGGCCAGTTGGGATTCTTAACCCCATCATGATGTATTTAAATTATTTGTTTCAGGCATTCTCTAGGTCCTACTAGCATTAGCGCTTTAAACAATGCCAAGAGTAAATAGTGGAATTTTTAACCTGTCTTAATGTGACTGACTTTCTCCTTTACACTTAGTGCTCCAAACAAGTTTGAAGCCCTTGCTGCACATGATGCTATGGTTGAGCTTCATGGTGCACTGAATGTGATTGCTTGTAGCTTGATGAAGATTGCAAATGATATCAGGTTTCTGGGGTCAGGCCCACGCTGTGGACTCGGGGAACTATCTCTCCCTGAGAATGAACCAGGCAGCAGCATAATGCCAGGTAGTGCTTGAAATTCATGTTTATTTACCACTGGCCATGATGCTAGAAAAAATAAAAGTTCAAACTGGCTAATTTTTAATTTCAGTTTACCCCAGGTGTGCATTGCAGTTCTGATCCTTGAGCTGTCGTTTACTTGTATTTTGTTCCTTCAGGTAAAGTGAATCCCACACAGTGCGAGGCCATCACCATGGTAGCAGCTCAAGTAATTGGCAATCAAACAGCAGTCTCTGTTGGTGGGAGTAATGGCCATTTTGAACTGAATGTTTTCAAGCCAATGATTATCAGAAATGTCCTTCAATCTACAAGACTAATTGGAGATGCATGTGTGGCATTTACAGATAACTGTGTTGTAGGAATCCAAGCCAATGTGGAGAAAATCAATAAGCTGCGTGATGAGTCACTCATGTTGGTGACAGCTTTGAACCCTCATATTGGTTATGATAATGCTGCAAAAATTGCAAAGAAGGCTCACAAAGAAGGCACAACATTAAAGGAAGCTGCCATTAGCCTCGGGCTGTTGACTGAAGAGCAGTTTAACCAGTGGGTGAGACCGGAAGATATGTTAGGTCCAAAGTAAACAGCTCCCATTAGACATCAGAGTAGCAAAACAAGGCAGTAAAGAGATATGACAATAATTACAACTTAAAGTATTTTAAACGAGAGTTTTTGAATTACACATGTAAGACTGTGCTTGTTTACTTTTCACAAAATTAAGGCACTATACAGAAGGACTCTTACATCTTTAAGAATGACTTTGTGTCTAAAAGAACTAGATAAAAAGAAAATAAAAGGTCTCCATTACAGGAAAATGATTAGCCAACTATGGGATAATTTATAGTTACATGTAGCTGTTATTGACTGTACATGCACCCATAGGTGTTGAAGTTTATTATTGTGCATGGTAATGTGTGTTGTCTTTTTAACAGAGAACAATAAAATTGGATCAATGATAAAGTGAACCACAACGTGATGAACCTCTTAAAACTATGAAATTGTTTTGTTTTGTTTTTTATCCACCCATCTCTATAAATAAATTACAACTTATGCTTATACCATAAACACTGTGTTCCAGTTCTCTCAAGTGTTACACTGCTGTGGGATGACAGCATTTTAAAAATAGTGATATATGATGTCCCTTTACAATCCACCAAGTAATATCAGCTATTTTCCAAAGCACTGCTTTTCTGGTCCTCATCATTTACATCATCTTGTAGTACACTGTATAGAACTCTGATACTCAAGGTACAATCTGAACAACATACAATGTTATGTCCATTTTCCAGATCACTTTCAGTAATCAAGTACTCTCCACTGCAACGACATTGGCTTGAGTAACTCTGTAAATCTGAAAAGTGAATATTGAAAAAGATTAAGTGCAGGATATATCAGTGGTTTTGATGCCTTGAAGAAATTAATTATTTTCAACTTTTACACCTTAAAACGAGATTTCTGCATTTTCTCCACCTAAAAATAAACCAAGAATGCTTAAGCTATACTTTTCATCATATCAGAGGAATCACTGAAAGAATCTTTGCATTGCTAAAAATCACATGACAGGGTCTCTAAGTCAAATAATTGCAAAATAACGTTCATCTACCAGTGTCATTGATGTACCTCACCACTTTCCTCAGTTTGCCACCTGGAGGAGTGGGGGGGGGGGGGATAAAAAAAAAAAAAAAATGGGGGATTGCTATTTGCCAGGTAATGTTTAAAAAAAAAAACCTCCCCTTTTATGGCCTTTTTTTTTTTAATTCCCCCCCTGTTTTATTTTTTTTTGGTCCTTTACCTTTTTAAAATTCCTTGCTCTCAAAATCACCCCCTGCCCCTCCCCGCCAATTTTGTGAAAAACCTTTCCTTATAAGAAAAAAAAAAAAGGAAAAAAAAAAATAAAAAACACATGAAAAGGTTTCTAAAGAAAAAAATTGCAAAAATAAGTTCATCTACCAGTGTCATTTATGTACCTCCCCCCTTTCCTCAGGTTGCCACCTGGAGGGGGGGGGGGGGGGGGATAAAAAAAAAAAGACAATGCTGGATTGCTAGTTGCCAGGTATAGTGTACAATGAGAGACCTACCCTCTGATAGCCTTATTTATCTTAATTACCCCACTGTGTACTGTATATTGGTCACTTTACCTTCATGAAATTCCATGTCATCAAGATCAACCTCTGCACTGACCGGCCAATCTTGTGATAAACTCTGCTCTATATGCGATAATCAAAGGGAATGAAAACAACATAAAAACACTTACAGCAATTATTACAAGTAACGATATCATGTGAAGCCTTTATCACACAAATACAAAAAAGTGGATATTATGAGGTTGCATAAGCCATGCCTGTATACAGATGTCAAAATAGAAATCAACCATGCACGTACAGTGTAGTTGAAAGTGAAGAATGATCATCGCAGTAAATTTTCCAATTTAAGCAATTGGAAAGAAGCCTCAATAAATTGACCTCGCTCCCAATGTGTGGCTTCATAGCTCAGTTGGTAGAGCAACGCACCGGTAACGCAGAGGTCACGGGCTTTAATCCCGTTGAAGCCCTGATTTTTTTCAGGCTTCTTCTTTCCAATTGCTTCAATTGGAAAATTTACTGCGATGATCATTCTTCACTTTCATCTACAACCGCAGTTCAGAAATGAATTATTTCATATATACTTCACATCGTACAGTGTAGTGTCAATTATATCATTTTTAATACTATTCACATGTACCTTTCAACTGTCTGTCACAATTTTCTCTTGTTTCATTGTCACTTAAAAGTTTCCATGCCTTGTCAATGGCCAAGAACGTTTCCTTAGCCTTGTCACGATCTTCCTCTGTTAATGACTCATCAAGCTTATCAGGGTGAAACTAAAAAAATAAAATTCCATTGCCTTGCCTCAGTGGCCACAGGTTATAAAACCAACCAACAGGGATGGTCAATGAGAGATGGGGGGGGGGGGGGGGGGGTTGAAGTGTTTTTTTTTAAATTTTAAAAAGAGTTGGGTAGGTTTCAATCCCCCCCCCCCCCCAAATTACTAAATTCCACTTAAAAAAAAATCCCCCACACCCCACCAATTTTTTTAAATTATTTAAAAAAACCCCTCATGCCGGGGGTTTCTTTTGTCACCCCCTTTGTGCTCGCAAAAGGCCTGTGTTGTACTACAAAAACGGGGGTAAAGATGCAAAAAATAGCAAGCAACGACGAAGTGAAAGAAATTGCCAATGAATTTCAAGCAGAAGCAACTTAAGCGGAAGATAAGAAAGGCTCATGCCAACGTGAAACGTGTTATTATGTCATTCTCCCGGCGACCCGGTGGCAAAACTAACTTTAACGAACGGTTGTCAGCGGTGAGTGTTTCTTTACGGAAAGTCTCCAGTTTAAGCGAGCATCTGACATCACTTTAGATAGACGACTATTTTTTTTCTCCTGCCTACACTCGTTTCTTTTTGATAATCTCACACAAACTATAATGAGAAAAAAAAAAAAAAAAAAAATTCTTCTTCCCGCCCGCGGGGGGGCCAGTGAAAAAAAACCCGACAAAGGGGGGTGTAGAGGGGGGGGGGGGGGGGGGGGGGGGGGTCTGAATGCTGATTCTTGACATTTATAGAGAGATTGGCTAGATTGCATACTACCCAGCCCACTAAATATCTACATGTCACTTTAAAAAAATGCTCCAGCAGTCAGCCAATTTGCTTAATTAATTCTGACATAGCCTGCAGTGCAGGCGTTTCCTTTGAGCACGCAATTTGCTCGCGAAAGTGCCATGTTGATACTTCACAAAGAGAGGGGGAGATGAGGCAAGTCAAAGGGAGTGGGAGGGGGCGGGGAGAGGGAAGAGAAAACGCCGTATTTTTTCTCCCCTCCCCTCCCCCCTTTCCTTCTTTCACCTTCGCACCTACCGTAAGGGTTACTATTTCTACTCTTCCCAATCTTCCACTGTCATAAAATCAAAGATGGCGGCTACAACAATTACGAGTGCGAACGAGGTTTCGCTCACCCAAAATACGCCTGCACTGCAGGCTAATTCTGACATTGACTGTGGGACTTTGGGAGCACCAGTATACTTTGTTCCATAAGCACACTAGTTACTTGACATCAACTGTGGGAGTGCAGGGCTGCGGTCGCACCAGTTGAATACCCACTTAATATTCACTTTTCGGCAACTGCAGTAGTGGAAGACTGCAGGAACACTCGTTTTACTCTCTTAGAGTAATAATAGAACACAACTGCTGGACTGTGGGAGCAGTTTTTCAAGTAAGATTCCACAATTGCTTGGAGAGAACCAAGAAAGCAGGATAAACAATCGCCAAGACAGATGTCTCCTAATCCATCACAGGTCTAGGATAGTCAATACAATATGGCATCATCTTAACTTGGTAATGCTGTGGCACCGGACTTCATAAAGAATTCCAAGCGCATACATGTGCTACTAGCCTTTTGAAATAAATATAACAAAAACCTGCGGGTAAGAACCTGCATTTACGCAAATTCGCCTAAAGAGGTTCTTGCATATAAACTGGTAAATAACAAAAGTTTTAAGCTTAACTTTTAAAAAAGGACAACTCTGAAAGGTGTCTCAACCTTTGTAACCAGTTGTAGAAAATAAGGTTAGTTATCGAACCTTGAGCACAAGTTTTTGGTAAGCTCTTTTGACTTCCTCGTGTGTGCAGTTTGCTGCAACGCCAAGCACCTTGTAAGGGTTGCCGACTTCAGAAAAGCAACTCGCCATTAGAAGTCGCCATTTTGAAAACGGGGATCTCCTAAGGAGAATGAGCTCTTATTTTTTTTCTTTCAGATTTCTCGATTGGTCAACGTTTTGAAACAGGCGTAAGGAGCCAATCAGAGTTGTTCTTATAAGGTCGGGAAAAAGATTACGCGGCTACCAAGCATACATGAACCAAGATGGCGGCACTCCGATGCCTCCACTGTTTGCAAGTACTACGAGGAGTACAGCGTTCATCATTTGCTAGCACTTTCTTTCCACTCAGTAATGAGGTAATATTTGGTCTTTCATAATTTGCTCTCAATTTTCTTAGTTTTGCATGTACAGTGAGGAAAACTTGTCGAATCCAGCGAGCTTAAGCAACATCGACGGCGACGACAACGACAACGACAAAAAGGCAATAGCTTTGGATTAGCAATACATCACACTTTTTTGTACTTTTCCTTGCTGTTGCTGCACGACTACAACGTGAAAAATGCTAATTTTCACGTTTTTTGGAGGATGTGAACATTAAGATAAGACAACGACTTTCTTTTTCTTTTCCAGTACTTTGACACAGTTCTTTAGAATTCAACTCCATTAAAGTTTGCCAACATTTGAAAAATTGAACAAGATGGAATAAATGCGATAAAGTTTGGGACAGTGCAAATTCACTTTTTAAGTGACGTTTTCGTAGCCTTTGCTATTGTAGTTGCTTTATATGCTCCCTATTTTAAACGATTGATTTAATTCGCCCACATCTTCACAAAAGTGATGCGTGTTATGTGAGAAGCATTGAAATGAACTTGGATACTGTAGTCTCATGATCGTGTTTTGAGGTAATTTTATGAATGAACAAACAAAAAACAGTAGACAGGGAAGTTGTTTCTTGAAATTTTTTATCCAAAATCCCAAAAGTTAATCCTTTAAAGCAACTCACGTAACACCATTTGGATCATGGATCCGGTCACACAGGTAAAATTGGCTGAGCACAGCCGATTTGGCTGGGGGTGGGGTACATTTTGTAAAATGAACATTCTTTTCAACTTTCTCTTTCCACTAGTGCCTTTTAACACTGTATTTTTAACCTTGAAATGTGGAACTTTGGTCTTGAAGACCACCGCATGGAGATCACGTGGCAGCCATCTTGTTGTAACTGGATATATTTCACTAAGATGTGAAAACATTTTCTTCTTCTACCCCCTAAAAAACCACCAAATATATGCAAAGAGGACAGATTCTGATTGGTCAATCATTCCTAAATCCTTTTGAAAGAATAGGGGACAAAAAAACTATTTTGGGGAGGAGGGTAGGAATTCGTGTTCATGTGCAAAAATCAAGGCCGGTTTTGGCTGGTTGGCTGTCATTGAGTTAACATTTTTCTAAAATTTGAAGTAAAATAATGCATCAGTTATGAAATGGTTAATATGGTCTCCACTTAAAACAGTTTTCACTTCTGTCGAATAAGGCATTCCCTTCTAAGTTTTCCTTGCCTCTAATGCAACATTAAGCTACATAACATACTTTTGCTGATCAATGTGAATCTGATTTTTGCCCCATGATAGACATTGCAGTTACGTTGTGGAATATTTTCTGTTGGACTAGCAATTCGAAAATGCAGGTATGACAAACATCATTATCATTTTTATTTGATTGTGTGCCTTGAAAATTTGACATTACCCTGGTATTAAAAAGAATATTTATGGGCATTAAGAAAGTGCGTGGTAAAAAGATTACGGAAATGTATCCTTGCAAACTGTGCTGTGATCCGACTGCACTTTGGGCCTCACATAAACTCCCCAAAATTAATTTAGAGCCTGTTTGCAAGCTTATTTAACAACCCTGTCATAAAAGAAGCATTGTCCGTATATGCCACAATAGAGTCAAAAACAGAGAGCATGTGGCATCATGGGAAGGTTTGTTAATTAATGTGGTAACATTGGATCTGTCAGATGACACCACATGCATCAATAAGCTAGAACAAGAAGGGATCCATATCCATCTTAACATCGGACATTCGGCCCAGTGAGTCCCCTTAATATTTTAACATTATATTTTAACATTATATTTTAGTGGTTGCATATGAAGTGTCAGAGACTGAGCCCAAGAGTTATATAGTTGAGATTTTGGTGGAAAGGCTACTTCTACATGTGAGCGAAATCGATGGTGAATGAGGGCTTTGAATCTTGTGTGATTGTGATGTGGGAGTGAATTAAACCTGTTGCATTAAACTCTGTGACTTGTAACCTTGTTGGGGAAACTAAACTATTATTGCTACTGTAGGCATTCCCAACATGAAGTTAAGCTTACCTTGCTATCGTCTGCATTAGAATGGATGAATGAATAATGAATGAGTGAATGTAAGGTTGTTTCCACTGTTCTCATACGTACAGTAACCCCTGGGATCTCCCATTTTTTTTACTCTGTTTTATAAAGCGTTGTCATGACAAGGAAGAAATTGACACTGATTGTTCCTAGGGCTTTTTAAGAAGGTTACATAGGATATTATGCTCCTTTATTTCAAAAATGTAAGGTGTGCGTTCATGAGGAATGGTCTTTCAAAGATCATATTACACAAAACATACTCTGTTTTGACTTATGATAATTCTCAAGTTAGTTTAGCCAAGTTAATGTCTTTGCTATTTCTATCCACTCATAATTGCCTTATGTGGTGATTGAGTTTTACTCGTATAAATGAACATTTTTTTATTGTTGGTGGTATTAAACATTGAAAATCACAATGTACTGGGAAAGTGCAAATAATCTATCCCTTCTATTATGTAAACATTTAATTGAAATATCACAAATTTGCATAATTCCAAAACAACTGGCGTTTTTTAAATTTCATTTGATGGTAATTTCATTACGACATTTCCCTGCTTAATCTTGGCAAGAAATTGCAATAGTCCAAAAACCGCGTCTGTAAAAGTTTTTACTTTGCTTGTGGCTGCCAAAACAACCTTACGGGGCATTATAAAGCACTTATAGCACGTAACAAACAGTGACAAAAAGTGCATGTGTCAATTAGAGGTCGCAACACAAAGTCACTGCCTTGAAGAACGATTTTGTTTATCAAGCACGTGGCCAGTTGAATTTCCTCTCAGAGGACTATTTTTATATAAAGCTTGCTCTGCAAATGGGCAAGATAAAGTGAATCCTGTGTTCTGATTGACTACCTTAGTGGAAAAGATGGGCCTATTTTGTCTGCTGCCGCTTGTTTGTTCAAAATGGCTGGATACAGGGATGACCAGCCATAGACACATTCAAATAATGGCTTATGAACAACTGAATAGAAAAAGTGGCTTCTCCCTCATCATGTAGACTTTAGGGTGTTTGATGCACTGTAAATGTTTTCTTTTTTTTCACTAAATAGGCATAAGGGAAAGTTCAGCTCCTTGGAAAGCCATGGTAAGAGTTGTTTAGTATTTTGTTAAAAGAAAAATCTCTTGATCCCTGATGTCAACTCAAATTTGTTTATTTTGGCAGTTCCAAGGCTCTTGCTGGTGAAAGACTTTTCTACATTAGCCGCTGAAAATGTAAGTCTTTTTCTCAGATTTCACCAGATCAGTGATACACACATTGTAGTTCTACTGGAATGCATGTATATGCATGCACTATGTTCCCTTCCTTCCCCTAGACCGTTTCATTTAAAATAAAACTAACCTCAATCTTGACAAATGCGCAAGAGAGAAATAACAGACAATCTTCAGATTTAGAATAAAATAACAGTTATCTTTACAAAATGTTATTATGTTTTTATTAGAACAGAGTTCTGTATTCACTGATTAATGTTAAAGTCAAAGGAAGCGATGAGGCTGTGTTAAAGTCCTACACTGAGTTTATCATGAAAGCTGCTTCACATTTCAAGCTTGATATCTCTGGAAGGTACATTGTACAAAATAAATGTTCTAGACAAACGTAGTACCGCTGCTGCATGTGCATCATCAGACTTGAGAAACCTCAAAATATTTGTGGGGCATGAAGGCGTGTCTTTTACGTGTGTACTAGCCCCAATGCCGCTTGGATCTTTGGCTTTTAATTTTAACTGAAAGGTCTCATTTGAATTTCAATGTTATCTTAACGGTCTAAGGTACTTGAAAGTAAACATTCACCCACTTTGTTAGTGTTTTTTGTGTTATTCAAAACCGTCTTAATAAAACAAGGCATCATTGTACTCTCACGATTCTAGAACATATGTTCCAGCTGCCTGTTACCTCACGCTCCACAACATTTAATTGTAGTTGTAGCTTTGGTTTTAAAAAGCCTTGTTAACCCCTCAAGAAATCTAAGCAAATGATTGGTTGTGCTGTGAGGAAAATATGCTGCAACCAATCAGAAGGACTACCCAGATCTGGGTAGTGACACGTCATCAGTATGGAATTTCTTTGCTTGTTCTTCTGACGTCATTTCGCGGGGAAACCAGTGGTGACGTTCCGGGCTGTTTTCTCAGGCAAACGTACTCTTTTCTGATTATTCTGTAGGATTCTACTACCTACATCCATTCAAAGGCACACAGTTTTAAAATCTCCTCATATTTACAAGAAACACAGGGCTCAGTATGAGATCAGAACACATGCAAGAATGTTACAGGTATGTGATGGTTACATCCTGAATAGGATTGTTGGTAACTGTGACTTATGTTTTGGCAACCTCTGCAGAAGGTAAAATCACAGAGTACAAGTTAATAGTGTATCATCAGTAATGAAGGCATGCGTGGAATACCGTATTACTCGACTAAACGCTGCGGCGTTGATTAATTTTTCTCCCCATTCTGCAATTATTGGAGGGCGGCATTTATTTGAAAATCACATTTTTAAAATCACTGACAACAATTACGATAAATCGACCATTTGCACCTAAATATTGTCCAATGTATCGGTTTTTACGTGATGTAATATTGTGTTTTTCACAACATGAAGGTATATAAAATAGTAAATTAGTAAATGAATAAATAAATAAATAAATAAGGTGTAAAAATCTTGGGTAAGTGACACCTGATGTCAAGAGATTTTTTTTCTTTAGGTTAA